AGAGAAGATAAAAAGAAAAAAATATTAAAGATAATGATAATAATAACATTATTAAACTGATGATAGAAATGATAATAAGTACACGAAGAAAAAGAAGAAGGAGAAGAAGAAAAGAAGAAGGAGGAGGAGGAGGAGGAAGAAGAGGAAATAATGATCTATAACGTACAAAAGTATACAAAATGAAAAAGTATTAACAGGCAGAAGAATACAAATTTCAATCATAAAACATGTCATTCGCTTCTCTTCTCTGACTCTCAGCTCGAAGAATCTCTTTTGCCGCTTTTAGAAAGGGCACTTGGGGGAAGGAGGAGGCGCCTACAAAAACATTGATATAATTATCATCACATATTGATGTTCTTTATACTTCCCTTTTGATCCGTACATTATCCTGTTTTCATGACTTAATTTCTTGAAGTATATTGTGGATGTCTTGTCAAAGAGGCAGGCTATAGCGGAATACGAGTGTAAAAGGGAAATCTCTTGGCTGACAGCCCTAGCTTTTACTTTCTGTATTTTTTGATGTATTTCGTATGCAGAGGCAGCGCTCCAGGGAGGGCAAGGAGGTGCACAGTGCACCACCCCACACTTTTTCAAATACCTCAAATTGCCCTTCATTTTTACCTCGAAAAGTGCCCCCTTTTAACCTCAGTTAAATGCATTTTCTTTTAATAAGTGCCCATTCCCCTTCTCATAAGTGCCCCTTTCCACCACTGATCGATGCCCCTAGTTTTCAGATGCGGGAAGTACCCCTTTTCACCTCTGAAAAGATTTCCCTTTTCCTGTGACCCTTGCCCTTTCTAATTAGTGTTATTTCTCTTCTGATAAGTGTCTCTTTTCTTTAGTGCATTCCCCTTTCTTGTAAATGCCCCATTATACCTCTGATAAACTAAATCTAATAGGTGCCCCTTTTACTTTGACACAGTGCCCCTTTTCCTTTCTTATAAATGCCCTTTTCATATATGATAATTTTCCCTTGTCAATTTTGCTAAGTGTCCAGTTTCCATATTATAAAACTGTCCTTTCATAAATGCCGCCTTTTTACCTGCAAATGTCCCATTGTCATTTACAAAGTGTGTCCTTTCTCGCGGTCATACTATAGTCGCAAAGAATAGGAGCAGTTATTAGTTTTTACACTAAACTTTTGCCCATTTAATAATAAACTACGGTAACCGTGGTATATTCTACTCTAAAAGAGTCACTCTTCCAACCTATTGTCTTTTAAACCCCACGCCCAATGAACTCTATATAAAATACCATTACAAAGCTATAGTCAATTGCTTTTTGTTCAAAAATATGTCATCCATTACCTATGACAAGGTATTTTTATCATCCATCGTCCCTCATCCGAAACACTACATTTCTCATAGCTTCCTCTCGTGTGCATTATCTCATAAGTGACATATCGTATGAGATTGTGCTGAAAGAGCAAGTCTATACCCTGATTAAGTTAATTTAATAGAAGTAGAAAATGAAAGAAGCAATCCTATGACAAAAGAAAAAAGTTATAAACTGTTGAAATAAAGATCATAAAACATATTGGTGACAACTAACTTTAGGCCTATAAAGTCGTAATTTAACTTAATCTAATATGGCTTTAATTTTAATACATTTTCTCCTATAGCTTGTTTCCTGTTGTTATTAATACATTGTACCAGCTATTGCAGCTAATTATTAGGGTGGACTTCCCCATTAATAGCAGTGGCGGATCCAGGGATTTATTACCGGGGGGGGCACAAAATCGCATGGGGTGAAATATATGAAAAACGATGGAGCGACAGAGCAAGGCGTCAGCGACGAGGGAGCGGAGTGACCAAGCGGGGTAAGTCTGGGAGAAGGTTAGAACCCCCTCTTAGAATAGGGATCTTTTGCAAATTGAGAACCACATTTGGCGCATTAATGTCCACCTACACGTCCTTGAAAAAACGAGGCCTTCTGATTGGTTAAAAGTTAGAGCAAAGTGATCTGTCACGTCGCAAGATGTACGCATTGTGTATGCTTCATTGCTGCACAATGCACAAAGACGGTGGTCTGGTACTCCACCAGTAGTACGAGTACAAGTTTGCAAAATTATCTCGAGTTTATAAACAGTGTTGCTATCAGGGGCGTCGCTAGACCTTTTTCAGTGAGGGGGGGGGGGTGGTGTACAGGCCACCGCTTTGACACTTAATTAAATTATTGGAGAAAGAAAACGATTCGTTGTACCTTTTCCGACTCTTAATTCTCGTTTCGCGTTTCATTAAATTATTAGAGAAAAAAGACGATTCATTGTATCGTGTCTTTGTCTGGATTCAGTTTTCCCCCTCCCACGCGAAGCGCGGAAGCTTTGTCGTTTTATTTCATTATTACTCTTAATCCTTGTCTGAATTCATTTTCGCCGATCCCGCTCGAAGCGCGGAGGCTTTGACGTTTCATTAAATTATTAGAAAAAGGAGACGATTTGTTGTTCTGTTCTCGTCTCAGTTAATCCTTGTCTGAATTCAGTTCTCCCCCCCCCCCTCCCACGCGAAGCGCAGAAGCTTTGACGTTTCATCAAATTATTAGAGAAAGAAGACGATTCCTTATACCGACTCTTAATCATTTCATGAATTCTCAAAAATGTTTCTTTGTCCGATAAAAAGTACCAGTTCGTATAGGGAGAAAAAAATTGCGGGCCGACCGACATAATCCTCTCACCGACTTCAAACGTCTGCATTGGTATAGTGCACGAGGATTGTGCAAGAATACCAAAACAGCGGACCCGACACAGCAACATAATGATTCTATGCGTATCTAGATTTCTTGCCCCCTCGAAGTGGTGACTCCAACCTACATCCCCCTCTCTCTCTTACTCCCACCTCTCTTCTCTCAGGCTCGTCCCCCTCTCTCTCCTCTGTTTCATCCTCCGTTTCTTTTGTTTCCTTTTTCTCCTTTTTTCCCTTTTTCTCCTTTTCTATTTTTTTCTTTCTATTCCTTTCTTAACTCTCCTTCCTCTTTTTCTTTTTTCTCTTTCTTTCTTCTCTTCTCTTTCCTTTTTTTTCTTTCTTGTCCTTATCATTTTTTCTTTTCTTTCCCTTTCCTTTTCATTTTCCCCTTCCCCTTTTCTCATTTTCCCCAACAGCAGCGCAATTTTACCGACAATATCCTGACATGATGGGGGGTGTCGCAACCCACACCCCCTTTAGCGATGGCCCTGGTTGTTATCCCATAATTCTTTTTAAATAAATGCAATTCCTCATGCTCTCGCACCTCTCTTCTATCGTTGTTTAATTGTCTTTCATTTGTTTTCCTTTGTCCTTTAACTCACAAAAATTCTCTCTGTTCCTCTTTTTTCCATCCTTTTTTGTTGTTTTTCTTCTTGTCGTTTTTTTTTTTTTTTTTTTTGGGGGGGGGGGGGGGGCGGGGGGCTATACCCCTGACATAAGGGACCCCATATTATGCACACTGCAAAATTGCGTGCCCCCCCCCCCCCTTTCCCGGTATAAAATAACACCTTCTTATGATATCATCCCCCTTTCTTTCTTTTCCCTTCTCGTTATTTTCTTTACCCCCTTTTCTCTTCTCCGTCTTTCCCCCTTTTTTTCTTCTCCGCCTTTTCTCTCCTCTCTCTCTCTCTCTCTCTCTTCCCCTTTCTCCCCTCCTCCCTCCTTTTTTATCCTCTCCCCTTTTCTCTCCTCCCTCTTTTCTGCTTCTTTCTCTCTTCCCTTTTCTTTATTTAATTCCCCTCCTTTTTGCTAATTTTCTCCCTTTTTCTTTCCCCTTACCCCTTCTCCCTTTTTTGTTTTACCGGGCTTGTGCCCCCTGTGCCCGGATTTTAGTTATCCGGATTTGAGTTATCCTTTTAATTGCTCTCTGTCACCAATTATCCCATTAAAAATCCTCTAACAAAGCAAGAAAATTCTCCCTTGAAAGGATTTTTTCAAGGGATTTTTTAAGGGATTTTTCTGTGTGACACCGCCTAATAAAGATAATAATATCAACAAAATTAAACTGATAATGATAGAAATGATAAAAAGTACCAGAACAATAAGAAGATAAAGACAAGAAGAATAAGAAGAAGACTAAAGGAAGAAGAAGAAAAAGAGAAGGAGGAAGAAGCTATTAAAAAAAGAAGAGGAGGAGGAGAAGGAAGAAGATCGGAGGACTTATTGCATGTTGAATTTCTATATTTATATTCGTATAACGTACAAAAACATAAATATAAACACAATTAAACTGTATGAACCGACAGAGAAGAGAAAGGTGTTCTGTACGGGGTTCTGTATCCAGGCTATTTGGCCATTATATTGTCATTCGCTTCTCTCATGTGATATGTGTTAGGTACATTCCTTTAATTTTAAATTTGTCCTTTTCCTTCTATTCCTTTAACACACCGCCTAATAAAGATGATAATAACAACAAAATTAAACTGATGATAGAAATGATAGAAAGTACCAGAACAATAAGAAGATAAAGACAAGAAGAATAAGAAGAAGACTAAAGGAAGAAGAAGAAAAAGAGGAGGAGCTATTAAAAAAAGAAGAGGAGGAGGAGAAGGAAGAAGATCGGAGGACTTATTGCATGTTGAATTTCTATATTTATATTCGTTATATATAACGTACAAAAACACAAGTATATACACAATTAAACAGTATGAACCGACAGAGAAGAGAAAGGTGTTCTGTACGGTGTTCTGTACGGGGTTCTGTATCCAGGCTATTTGGCCATTATATTGTCATTCGCTTCTCTCATGTGATATGTGTCAGGTACAATTCCAATGTTTTATGGCAATGATGTAATAAAACGAATTTCCAATACTACCTCCCCTTTCAATGTACGTTACATGAACTACAAAACATAATTGAAGACCTCCAGAATCATAATATACACATTTATCTGCCAAATGTATTGCCCTCCGTCTCTCTTGAACCTGAATTTACTTTGTACGGACCCTATACCATACCTCAAAATACAATCACAATACATACCGGTACGGTGAATCTTTGCGGTGAATTAATACAGAACGCCAACGTACCAACATGTGCGCGTTCAGCTGACGACATATGCGCCTGAGCTGCCCGTCCACGTTGTGTTGCAATTACCCACTAGCTACAGCTACCAGACTGAGTCAAGAGAAGAGCAAGAATTTACTTGATTATTTGCAATCCAAAATTGTGTATTGATACAAATAACGAAATGTCGTTTTTTAGGAAAACCTCACATCTTGGAGCTACCATTTTAGGAGCTACAATGGGCGGTGTCGGGATACCACTGGTGATGTCAATTTCTCCCCTCTCAGTTTCAGCATCTGACGGAAATGCAGCAGACAAGGACCCCAGAGCTCAGGCTTGCAAGGATGACACTATTCCGCTGGTTGCACGGGAAGATTTGGAGCTAAAGTTTGTGCAGATTTTCTTTAGACATGGAGCTAGAACACCGATAGGAACAGGATGCATTCCTAATGTCGAAGAGGCAAGACATAAATATTCTACTCTAGTTTAAACTTTCACTCACTTTTAAGTAACCATTCAATTTAATATTAAACTGTGTTACTGTTACTGTCAGCTAGATCTAGCGTAGACCGAATTTTCCGTCTCTTTCGTTCGTTAGCCTCTTATTGGGGTAGGGTCGGCTCTCTCTTTAGAGACGGAAGCCGTTTATACACATGTCCTTGCTAACGCCACGGCCAGTTCTGGTCGTAGCGTTTTGCCCCCAAAATCCCCCAAAATGTCATTTTACCTCGAGCATGTTATATTGTAAATTAGGCCTAGGCTATAATAAATCAGTTCCACTTACCAACTTGACTGAAATAATCAGTTTAATAGTCCCTTTTTAGGAAATTATGGGTCAAAATCGGAATCCATGTTGAAAAAGATTTTCAAAATGGATTTCGATTTTGACCCATAATTTCCTAAAAAGGGACTATTAAACTGATTATTTCAGTCAAGTTGGTAAGTGGAACTGATTTATTATAGCCTAGGCCTAATTTACAATATAACATGCTCGAGGTAAAATGACATTTTGGGGGATTTTGGGGGCAAAACGCTACGACCAGAACTGGCCGTGGCGTTAGCAAGGACATGTGTATAAACGGCTTCCGTCTCTAAAGAGAGAGCCGACCCTACCCCAATAAGAGGCTAACGAACGAAAGAGACGGAAAATTCGGTCTAGATCTAGCGTAGACAGCAATAACCATCTGATTTGGGTCATTTCTTTAATAAAACTGACATTTGTTGTCATTCCCCAATACTATAATCGGAGGTCTAGTGGAGCCAGACGTAGTCTCAGTGGAACAACCGACGATTAGAGAGATTGAAGCTTTCGGTCTAGATCTAGCGCATCTTCTGTGAAAAAATATAAATAAATAAACTACGAGTACTGTACGACGACGAGTTAAATCATCTTGCCCTTACTTCTAATGCGCTTCATTTTTAAATTTTTCATGACCTGTATTAATTTATCTTGCCTGGCTCACAGTCACAGTGCAGTATTCTATCTCTTCCTTTTCATTTATTCATTCACTAATTTTGCTTATTATTCCATTTTTTTTTATACTAAGTATCATCATCTCCCTGTTATCATCAAGTACTAATGGAACCATCTGGGCAATAACATCGTAAACTCCAAGTAGCTTACATCGTAGTTAAAATCCGCACATGCGGTCTCGGCCCCATTTGCCCAGAAGGGCCCTTCTGATTGGCTATCGCTGGTTGCCATTGGCTCAACGTTATAAGTTATTAGTGCAAGGAGAAAGCCTGCGATTTTATGTATTAATCTGATAACAAACTTATGATATTCCAGTCAAACCTTGATTTTGTATGATTTTTTCACTTTCCTAAAAAAAGTTAAGTTACAGTATTTTACTAAAGTTTAAAGGCCAATTTAAACTATGGAACAATGAAAATATATACATATACAATAATTCATGGAAATATAAAAACATGGGGTTAGGAGCCCCTAAGAAGTTTGAATACAAACTTGTGGTTGGGGCACCAACCATGATACATATATCGAGAAATTAGAAAAATTGATGAAACAACAATAACAGAAAAACAAATATAAAACACCTGCCTGCAATACTGATATTAATAAGAACAATGACTTGGCATTTATCATGTCACTGTGAATATGAACGTGAATGTTTGTAAATAGCTTAACTTCTTGTAACATTTCAGATTTGTTTGTTAATGCTATGTACCCAAACAATGTTTTTCATTTGAAGGTACAAGGTTCGATTAGCATTTATGCTAATTTCTGGTTCCTTTTATCATTTTATGTTATTGAATAAGACTGTTTATAACTTTATAGCTATTGTTATGTGTTTACTATTGGATACTAAATTTCAAGTTCAATATTACTGAACATTTGTGTAAGTGCCTTCTTTCACTACCTATATCTTTCTCTTCATCCTCCTCTTTATCTACTTTATTTAGTCATGTTCTAGGGTGCTGTAAGTCATAAATTGTGGGTTCGTATATATGTATAATTGTACATTGTAAAGTGCCAAGCTTTGCAAAACAGTAATGAAAAAACATGAGTTACACACGTACAAAATCTCAACTACGGCAAATTACCAAGGATAGAAATATATGCACACAAATGGATTTAACTTGGCTAGTCGTATATTACATGAATGCCCAACATGACACAAGATCCATTAGAACAATGAAAATATATATAGGTCTATATATATATATGTGCAGGGCTCTGATCAAGGGCACCTAAGTGTTACATATGAGGTGAATTTTAAAAGTCAATTATAGACTGTGGCAACATTATTTTTGTAATCTGCAAACATTATGCAACATATAGCTAAAAAATCAGACCTTAACAAATCGCCGTTAAGTTGCAATCAGTAGCTAAATATCTCATCATCAAAAATGTAACGTACATAACTCGGTGTCCACTTCATGCTGATATTTCCCTTATAATTTAAATTTTTCTGACAAAGTACATTAGATGTTAAAACATACTGTAAACAAAACTTAAAACCATTGCCATATCAATTTTTTTCAATTTAGTTATTAGAATATGGCCAAAACAAATGTGGACACCGAGTTATGTACAGTACATCTTATTCTCTACATGCTTTCTCTTTGCCTTATTGTCAGATATGGTTTTGCATTAGTCTAATAACGACTTCAATTGAAGGAATGATGTGTTTCCTGAATGAAACATAATTTGCAATGTGTAAATAGTTTGTAAACTACTGAAATGTAAGATTTCTGTACTTACATGTAATCGTACATAACTGTGGACACCAAAAGTAAGTAGTTTTACATTCAAATAATATTTAACTTCTTGTTCCTTAAATTCAATAAATGTTTGTTTAAATGAAAATACAGAAGGGTGCAATTCATGCTGTATGGAATAAATAAATTTATTTATGATAATTATTTCAAATTTTTGATTGGTAGTAACGTACATAACTCGGTGTCTTTTCATAATGGTGTCTTAGTTATGTACATGACATGAAAAAGTTCAAACTGCAATATTTTGTAATATTCTTCTCACCAAATCAGATGTGTGTACATGTCTTATACATTTTTTACTACCTTACCATGACAAATAACTAAATATAGGTGGTCTTATTGGAAAAACAAAACATGGAATACGTACATAACTGTCACGTACATAACTCGGTGTCCACATTCATTGTTGATTAAATAACACATACAAGCTAAAATGCGGAATCCAATGTTATCAGTGCTCTTCATTCACCTATATACACCATAACATTGTCATTTTGAAAGTATACACTATGTTTTTGTAGAGATTCTGGTGCACTGGTTTGTACATAACTGCAGGACACCAAACATTTTCCATTTACAGACATCTAAATATTTTTAAAACCATGACCCAGAATGAGATGATCTGATTGGAAATCAAAGATAAAGTGAAACTAAACATTATAACATTGCAAGCTTGTAAATAAATCAATTATTTATACACCATTCTTCAGTTAGTTAGGTTTGAAATTTGCAGGACACCAAAGTTATGTACATATCACAAAACTTGTATCACATGTAAATAGAATAAGAAAGTAAAATAATAGGAATTAACTCAACAGAAATGTTAATTATTACATAGATTCTAAATCAAGATAAAAAAAATCATAAGTTTTGCATCCCATTAGTAAAAAATCTGGTAACCAATTAGTGCATGTTTTGAATGTAACATTAAAAGTGCTGAAAATAGGCCTTTTTACATCATAAAATTGCTCTAAAATCTTTAATTTGAACTCAATGAAGCTGAAACCTTGTTTGGAGCTTCCCCCAATGGTACTTTCTAATATAAAAATGCTAATTTGTGTCTGGGTCTCATGGTTTTGGATAATTAAACAATTTCCCAGTGTTCAATCTAAGGGTACCCTTGATCTGAGCCATGCACATATATATATATATATTTTGTTTAACCACAGGGTGTTTGGGATAAGGATACGATATTCCAAGGAGCAGCCGATCTATGCATTGATTACAAGGTGTGTGCTTTAAATGGAGAGCCACAGCCGGAATGGAAGATTGAGAATTACTACAGGAAAGAACCGCTTCAGGTATGTTTGTTGGCTAATTAAGTAGACTCCCAATCTGTTTTATTGAATTGCCCTGTGTGGGATATACACTGTAATGCGGTATACACCTGTATTACACAATATATTACGCTGATGCGCAAATTTCACGAGTCAGCAACTCTAGCAAGCCACAAGAAATATGTTTTTAAAGATACACAAAATAATTTGAAGTTAAAATGAATGCAGTTGAGTTATGTACAATTTGGTAGCTAGTTTTATCAGACATTTCCCAAATAATATTACTGTTACACAAATACATCTTGATATAGGTGCTTTCCAATAACTTTTATTACCTTTTGCCTTTTGTGACAAACTCTCAAGATGAGACCACCAGCAAGTGGACTTATTCTATTCTGAACTTGTTCTCATGTTATACACAGGGTGGGGCTTTCAAGGGTCAGCTGACAGCCGTAGGTATGAAACAAGCCAATGATCTGGGAAAGAAACTCAGAAGACATTATATGGAGAAACTTGGATTTCTACCTCAAGAATTCAGTCCACAACTTGTCTAGTAAGTGTTTATTCTAATAGAATGTATGAAGAATGTCTTTTCCCAAAGTATTCAGTCCCCAAATTGTTCACCAAGTGTTTACGCTTGAAGAAAGATTAAATTCATAAAAAAGCTCTTTTCCCAAAGAATTCAGTCCATAAATCGATATTGAGTGTTTATTATGCGTGGAGAATAAGCCTAGTGGAGAAAGATGAATTGACATGTACAAAGAATATCTTTCAACCAAAGAATCAAAGAATTTTGTCCACAATTTGTCTAGTGAGTGCCAATTTTTTGAAAACTTTTGACAAAGATAAATTTATGAGAATCTCTTTCTACTCAAAGAATTCAGTCCATAAATCGTCTAGTAAGTGCTAATGTTTGGAGAAGGATGAATTATCAAAGATTTCTTTTTGCTACAAAATTGACTCCTGCTTATAATTCTACAGTTGCAGTAATTCAGGAGAAATCATATATATGTAGTAAATACAAAATTTAAATTTTCAGAGTACTTGTAGTTTATTTTTTAATAAATGATTTATTAGTGTGTTTGCATTGATGCACATACATACAAAATCTGTTTCAAATGCAAGATATCAATTTAAATGCAGCAGTTTTATCACTTCATATCTGAACAAGCCTTATATATCAATGGTTTTTATTTTTCCATGACCACTTTTAAACAAATTTGAAGTCATGATTAATTTGTCCATAGCTTATCATGTATCACTATTACCACACAAGCCCATTGATATATTTTTGGTGCATTATACTGGTGTATTTTTGAAACTCTGAAGAGGATAATTTGTAAAAAATGTGCCGGGAATGATTAAGAAGACATTAACTACTTTTGTTAAATCTTAGAATGGTGTAGATCTACATGTAATTAACAAATTAAGTATACTGGTAGATGATTGTTGACATTTATTGATCAGACATAATTTGTAAAAGAATGTACCAGTATGAAAACAAAATGATTATGATTAATTATTATTAGTAATTAAAAAATATTTATATTGAATATTTTTTACAGCACCAGATCAACCAATATCAACAGGACATTGCAGTCTCTTGGCTGTTTGATGGGTGGTTTATATGGCAACATTATCGCATCCAAAGAGTGTAAGATAATTTGAATTCATCTTTTAAAAATAATTGTTTGAAGCAGTATTCAGAAAGTGTGTTCATGATATCAATATGGTGCACAAGACTGTCTTTGTAGGCAAAGTAATTAAATTTAAACATTACAGTAATTCTCAAATTTTATACATTCAAACTCCAAGGGCTTTTTTCGGAATTCTTCTAAAAGTGGAAAGATGAATGCAATGAATAAATAGTTTTAGGGTAACCCCATTAACCTGTATATCAAATGATTTGCTAGTTCAGATTGACAGAAGCTTGTAATATGACTTTCACTTTTATAACATTTCAAAACATGTGTATATGCAACTGGTACAATATAGAGATCACTTTTTCAGCTTTGTCAAGGGTGTATTAAAGGGATTGGGTAACTTTGCCTCAGATTCTAGAAAAATTATGGATTTAGCTCATGCTGCATGTATCCCATGACTTTAACAAGCCAATACCTAAGATATCTATGATTGGAATTAGAAATTTCAGAATTTGTTTTCCTAACGGTTTTTATTACTCTACAGTCTATTGGGGAAAACGAGTATGGTAAAACTGGTCACTCAAAGGTTTTTACTGTTTTGAGGCACTTCATGATCATTTTAAAGTGCAATTTTTTTAGGGCTTCAATATTACACCATATCACAGACACTGATAACACGTAGGGCCATGCATCTCAGATTTAACAATGTTAAACGATGCCTTTAATTTCAAAGGAAACCATCCTGTATTTTCAGCAGTACCAGTCCAATTTTATACTGATGAAGGCTTAGGAGAGGTCCTGTACCCTAACAGACAACGTTGCAATCAGCTATCACACTTCTACTCATCTGTCTTGAAGGGTATGTTTAGTGTCCCCGGAATAGGACACGGTACCGATCAAATTGCCCCCGTTCTGGATGCGAGCGAGGAGCAGAAAAAGAAACTGGACTTTGTTAGTATGAGGGATGATATCACTGCTAGATTAGTAAGTTATTTCATTCACCCTATTTCTCATGTTTTAGCATTTAAGGTCATGCATAGTTTAGCAATACCTTAAAAACCTTTTGTCAGATTTCTTTGATTTTAGATGCTGAATAGGAAGACACTATCAAGTTTTTCCTGCCATAAATGGAATATTAAACAAATGAGAGGCAAAACATTATTAAGATGTGAATATCTTTGTTTAAAGACTTAATAACTTGAAGAAAAAAAGATAATTACTTGAAATAAAAATCACACTTTAAAAGAATAAAAGACATAGATATTTATTGTGAATACCAGTAATACAAAAAAAGACAGGTAAAGATAGTGTACAGAACCATGAACCCTTTAATTTAACTTAGATTGTCCATGTTTGGATTCATGAATATGTACTGGATAATATTTAAGGTCATGTAGTGAAATTAAATGTAATTGAGTCAAGGAAATTGACAATGGTGATTTGTATGTTCTGGATATGCAGGTATGCACCTGTATGATAAGACAAATAGACATACACCTACATGTATGATATACAGGAAGTTTACAGTCATCATACCTGAATTTCTTGTCTCTCTGCTTTACAAATGACAGGAACACAACATGAAAGTGCCTGACCATCTAATGCCTGTTATTGATCTCATTGAGAAACACGCCGTAGCTCTTATGAGGTTCCTTATTGAAGGAGGCAATGAACCTGGTAAAAATATTATCAAATTCTCTGCTGGACCCACGATGCATTATATCTGTGAAAACCTCGAAGCTGCCAAAAAAAAGGAGATGTAAGTATTAAAAACATGTGTTAGAATCAGGGGTTAACTTAGTAGACCGACTGCACACGTGATCGACAAAACAAAGATATATACATTTTAAAATACTGAGAGGAAGAAATTCACAAAAGGTTCACGAGGCGAACCGCTATCAAGACTGTCAAAACAAAGAAATATTTAGAGAAGATAGAAAAATGTCAGTCTCATGGATGATTGGCCTAGTCAACTGCTTGAAAAGTAGCTAAAAGGCCAACAAGAAAAACATTGTCATTCTCATCACAGTCAGTCTGGTGGGCCATCAATTTAGGGAACCCTAAGAAAAAGGTATCAGAAGGCCCATGAGGTCGATATTATGGATCTAGTGGGCTGTCAGTCCCGTGGGGGGGGGGGGAGCTATTGGCTTTATATTGAACCCTCACTAAAGTTGTCAGAAGGCCTGGAAGACGGAAAATCAGGTCTGGGGGGCAGTCGACCTAGTGGGTTCAAGCCATTGAATTTGAGACATACTGTTTAATCTTTGTATCGGTCAAGATCTCAAAATATGTTAAGGCTCTACAATGAAACAAATGACTTTAGAAGGGGAAACAGACTACTGTGTGTTTAGAAATCAATTAATAATGCTTATTTATCCATATTAATAGGGACCCATCCCTGTCTTTCTTATCTCAATAACACAAATCCCTACCGGGACTCAGAAATAAAGTTTAAAGGGATAGTTGAGTTCTGTTGCAGAGGGCGCTACACAAAATAATTTTTTGTGAGATAATGAAAAACTGAGTGTCAAATTTGAAAGAACATAATATTTAAATGACAAAATCATCTTTGTTTGATCAAAATCGGTTCAGAGACGGCTGAAAAATAACGATTTCTAATACTTGTGTACCACCACAAATATTAGATATTTTGAAAAATTTGAAAAAACCGTTGAAAAAATAAAATAATGCCTTTTACGTCGTATTTCAGCCAATGCCAATGTTGGCTTTTTTGGTGGCATTTTCTTGTTGCTTATATTACGCACAACCAGCCAACCCTTGAATTGTTATTTTTAATTAAATAATTATTTAACGGTCACCATGCTTCTTTTAAATAGAGCTGAATTAGTATGCTTGTATTGGCTAAATTTCACACATTTTGGGGTCTAAAATTACCTTCATAGCAATTTTACATGTAGGTCCTAAAAGGGCACTAGAAATGTCATAGATAAGAATAAGAGCAATAACCATGCCCTTTGAAGGTATTTGCGATCTAAAAACAGAACTCAACTATCCCTTTAACATTGAAAGCATTGTAGACAAATGACATATTAAATTAACCTGCAATATTTTTCATTGCCAAAATTTTTCTTTGTTCCTCACAGGGTTCTATTTAAATGGGAGGAAACTCCAGTAGTGAACAATTACCTGTCACTAGCAAACTACTTCCTGACAAGCCAGATAAAAAGATGAAGTAGAGAAAATGAAAGTACAATGAACGTTTAAATATCTTTCTTTTATTCTGTGAACAATGCAATCATTTAGAATACAAATTCTCTAACCCTTTTCTGAGCATACTTTCAACTTTATTTTCAATAAATCACTTCTCATATTTTAGTATTAATAAATTCTTTTAGAGCTATAAGCAAAGCAAAATAACTTTTTATATAGTAGGCTTGTGGATGCACCATGTGAGAGAGAGGGAGGATTGAGGAGTCCTGAAAAGGACTCTCGGTAATCTTTCTTGAGTGTGTGTGTGTAGTCCTGAAAATCCTCAATCCTCCCTCTCTCTCACATGGTGCATCCGCAAACCTACTGTATATCTACATCACCATGCAAGCCAATACTTACAAGCAGCATCTAAATAAATTTTTGTTTAGAAATAATTAATTGAAACAATTGCAGGCAAATGTATGATTAGAAAATCAAACATTTAAAGCCTTTTTTTGTACCAGCAGTCTGATTTTAGCCTTGGAAATTGTCATATGTTCAAAGATGTCATTTTGATAACCATGGAAATGTAACAATGAGTACAACTTTATTTCCAATTATATATATTTCAGGTATCATTGAACAGATAGATATGTCACTTCAGCACATTCTATTCAAAACAAATTAGTTATTGTCAAGTTTTTTTTACTCCTTCTTTTCTTTTTCTTTTTTTTCCATTGAAATTACAGAATTACAGAATACTGTAAGAGAATTCTTTTTCAATTTCATTAAGCTATTAATATTTTCAAGCTTTCTTTCTTGTTTTTGTGATATGAATAAGTTGTAAAAATATGAAAACATGATATTGTACACTCACTCATTTATGTACGTAGAGTATGTGCACGAATGCAAATGTATGTTTAGGTACTAAATTAGAAATATCCTGATAAAATGTCGATCTCAATCTCTTTTGCAAAGTGGATGTGAAAATTATATCCAAAATGTCACATAATTTATTTTCATTATCCTTCCTTCCCATTCATAATCACACTTGTTCCTTGAGAGCTTAAAGCCTCAAAGTCGCCAAAAAATTGATGGCAAAATTTCGCTTGAATTGTATCATAATGTGAAAGAGGATGTTTTTGCTTTAAAAATTCAAAATTACAGTTCTATGCAAAGTACCAATTATCTTTCTTTCTGTCAGGTTCTGTTTCTTTTTTCTTTTCTTCTTGTAGATACGGGACATTATTGTAGGAATAAATGTAGCAACCAAAGCGAAAATACCATTGTTGTCATTAAGGTGAAGAAATTCTGATCAAATTTACTTTTGAAATGCTTTCTTTTTTTAGTCCTTACAAGCTTCATCTGAATTCCTGCCATGACACGACACTGATGACTCTCCTACTAGCCTTAGAAGCATTTGATGATGTATGGCCTCCACTTACTGCTTCAGTCATCTTTGAACTGTATGAAGACAAAGCTGGCAATTCATTCGTTAGAACTCTCTATCAAAACAAAGTAAGAAATCTCTAATTATTTATAGTAGTATTATTATTATCATCATCGTCATCCGTAGTAGTAGTAATACAAGTGTAGTAGTGGTAGTAGTAGTTGTTGTAGTAGTAGGAGTAGTTGTATTGGTAGTATGATGTTATGTTTTGATACCAGGGGCCAGTTTCTTGAAGCTGTAATAAGTATTAGTTCATGGCCATCTCATTTGATTAAAGAATACATAATTTGAGGCTTTCTGTTGAACGCAAAAAACCTTAATTTTGTATTCTTTCATCAATATTCGACTTTAGACACATTTGTTTTGAAAATTCTTGCAGAAATGTGTGTTAAATGACATCCTCTTTCACATTATGATACAATTTAAGTCAAATGTTGTCATCAAATTTGGGGGGCTCTCAACACTTTAGAGGGGCTTTAAAAGAGACATACTGTATGCTCAAAGCACCAGTGATAAGTCTTTGTTCTGCACCATATCAGTTGTTTGGCAATTAACCTACTTTTTTAACACAATTTAAACAAGATAGTTTCCGGAAAATGGCCCTTGAGCAAGAATCTCATTCTTTTTGTTACATTGTCAGTTTAGATACCAGATGGACTTTGTTAATTAACTTATCCTGTATTTGACATTCAGTTTGAACTTCCTGTCAATTGTTTCATTGATTGACAAAAAGTACACAGGTTGAAAGTTTCATCAATGTCTGATGTATCTGGCCATTGATAGTTTCAAAGATATCACATTATATTTTATAATGATGTCCTTTTCACTAGTTGAAATTCAAAGTGCTATACATGTGCATTTTCAATTAATTTATTTCAATTTATTTTGGGTTTTAAAACTGGGCTTAGAAACTTGTACAAACATAGGGTTAAAATGTAACTTGAGGCTGACATTTGTAGCCGGTTTTAGCCCTCATAACATTTTTATTTGCACTGTAATAATATTGAAATTACTTGTCAAATGGTAGAACTACATGTGAATTAACAAGACACAAAAACATCTCTTTGCGAGTATAATCAGTCAAGGCTCATTATGCAACTAAATATGAATTTAAATTTCCTTAAACTCACTTTCTGTCTCATTCTAGGACATTGTGTTTGTAATTTAAGTTTACTTAATTTAATTTGTCAGGGAATGTTTTCCTTGTGAGTGTAATCATCATGCAAAACTTCCCACTAAGGTTAATATATTTTTTTTTCACTCAAGCTTTATCACACATGAGAGAATCAAAATAGGCATGAGTACATTTCTGAAATAGCGCCATCTTATGACGAAGAATATGGAGCTGAGTCTCACATTTATGTCCATAGCTTGGGTTATAAGAAGTATCTTGCTTCTGTTTTGTATAATATGTTATAACAAAATTGATTTATAATTATTTTACAGGAACAGCATATAAGTTTGGACAATTTATTGTTGAATAAACTTCATCATCAATGCTTGCCATTTTGTATATTATTATCCTGGATCAGGAAGGTTACAAGTATTCAAGCAGACTGATAAATTCCTATATGTTTTGAACATGTTGTTGAATGTATTGTAATATAAAAAGCCATATGTTGACATGTTTACTTATCAAAAGAGTAAGGGAGTTGAAGGTGCTAATGCTCTATTTTGTCACATACAATTTTGCATCACTGTGATAAATCTGATATATTAATATCAGATCTGAAATCTGATTTATTTATCAAACTTTCCTCAGGACTCAAAATTGTTGTTCCCTATAAACTCATTGACAAATGGTACCTTGATATGAATATTAACCTGAGCTGTGGCTCAGGTGACTTCAGTTGGATTCATTTGACAAGTGTCAGAATGATCAATTGTTGACTAAACTTACCAGTAGTAGAAACAAAAATTCTCTAAATTATCACATCTCCCATAAATGTAGAAAAACTTATCCAAACTTTGAACGCATCTGGAGTCATTCATAATTGCGAAGTCCATTTTCTTTGAATTCTCCTTTCTTTTTAATGAATTAACTAGCTGCCATTAGGATGTTCTTGTATTAAACTGAATTTGAGTAAAAAGATAAATTATGAATATCATTCAAACATCTTGCTTCATTTCTTGTATTCTTTATGATGCCAGGAGCTGAGGATACGTCAAAGTGAAGAGACCCTCCTACCCCTAGAGAAGTTCAAGGAACTGCTTGCCCCTGTGTCCTACACTGCCCAAGACTATGCAGATGCATGCAAAGTGGCTAGTTAATGATCGCTTTCTACTAGGAGTATTAAAAGGTGAGATTTTATTTCTAGACTCGAAATAGGCGCCGCTTTTTGAATGGTGACAAACGGCGGCAACTACCTCAAGATTTTTTCAATTCATATTGATTTCAGAAGTCAATTTTATGACATTTGTATACAGGGTTGCTTATGCTGATGTCCGATTGATAGTTATCTGATCTGTTTTGCGGGATCGCTTGTCTTGTTTTTCTAATTGCTACCAAACTTGACTTCAATGGTCAATTGTAAGGCTGCGACGGGTAGTCGAATGCTCGAGTACCCGCACGGTTGACAACTACTCGGGTACGATTTCTCGTACCCGAATATTCGGCCACCAAAAAAAAAAAAAAAAATAAAAAATGTCCAAGCCCACGCTTACCCCTGCCAGGGAGAGCGGCGGCCGCTGGCATGGTACCATCGCTAAAAATGTTTCCCAACTCAAGCACTGTCAAACTCACCTTTTAGAAACTGGGACCAAATGTCCAGATTTCTGTTTGGACTTGGAGGAAAATGGATTATTCTGCCATCTTCGGTTTTTAAAACAGCATTGTTTACTGTTATTATTCTTATTAAATCGGCACCTTCAACTGCAACTCAAAACTAAAATTGCATGCGTTTTCGGCGAGGGACCTGGGAAACTGCCGAGTGGTATGGTAGTGGCAAAAAAATCAACAAAAAAAAAAAAAATCAAAAAAATCAAAAAAATTAAAAAAAATTATTTTAAAAAAAGCGTCCGAATATTCAAGTATTCGCTTGTGAGCCTGGGAGTGTACTCGGGTACCTCATTACACCGTTGTGCACAGCCTTAGTCAATTGGTACATGTAGGATTGGTCCTAAACAGCAAGTAATAGGCCACCTATAGGCAACCTTAACTGTACATGTACTTGGCTTGGAAAATGTTTATACCTCTTCATTATAGTGGTAAAAGTAAGCATTTACACTTCTCTACATATTCTGTCCTTTAAAAGTAACATTACACACATTTGAAACACATTGATATCTCCCAAATCTGTTGGTGTGGATTCTGGCTAAATGTTGAAGTAATCATTTTGATGTGGATAAGACCTCAATTTGTTTGAATGGGATACCTGCCCCTGCAAGGGACCCTTAAGTGACTCTCACACTCTGCCGTGTAGGCCTACCGTGTGCCACCGTGCGCGAAAATGTCTGCGGACGGTGGAGAACGGCGAGGGCACACAGTGGTTCGTTTTCAAAGCGGGCAACACGTTAATAGGGCGTTGGCGCTTATTTACACCCGGTGGGACCCGGCATGTTCAAAACTTTGGCCGGCTGGCAACGGCCGCAAGTAAGGGGCAAGAGCACGGTGTTGAACGGTATGAGGACGGTATGAATACGTTATGAAAACGGTTACACTGTATGAACACGTTCACAACACGCTCATAACCCGTTACAGAACGGTGATGTAAAATGGAGAGCGGACTGACCGTTGCCGTTCAAATCGGGGTATTTATGACAGTGGTATCATGACGTCAGCAGTCCGGGGACTCGCTCACAGGACACTCCGAGCGGTGAGGGGACGCTAAGTGACTGGTAGGTGACTGCTGCAAACCCGGTGCACACGTTCGAGACCCGGTATGGAAACGGCCAAAATTTTCAACAAAAGTCAATCTGGGCGGTGAAGACGGTAGAAGGACGTTCAACACCCGGTATGCGCCCGGTGAGAACGGTCAGAAGATGGCAACGAAACGGTGAAAAGATTAATTTTATGAATTTTGTTTTGCGGCCGGGGACAAGTTCGCTCAAAACCCAACGTTCTGGACTCTGTTGTTTTTTTAATAGCCCGGCAGGTGGACGGTAGGCCTACACGGCAGAGTGTGAGAGCTCCATTATATTCCAATAAATCCTATGTTTCCGGTGCAAAGGGGATGGGAGTTAGGTCCCTTAGTACGAGGCCCCTATTTTCATCTGCTCAGGTGAGTGTAACATCCACAGATCTCTTGTTGATTAAAGCGCTTTATGACCTGAAATTTTGCACAAAGGTAGCTTATAAATACAAAATTTGATTGAAAAAAACACTTGTATGCCAGTTTGTAAAATCAGCGACTATATGGATGTAACTGTGCACAAAAAAGAAACAGCTCCACCTTGTGGTGCATGTTGATTATTCAATTGTTGAGCTTGTTTGTGAACGCCCTCTGATCTACTGTGTACTTGTACATGCATGTCATTTTCTGTTTTGGATGTGGATTTGGATTTTCTTACCGGCTTGTTAGTTGCTTTCGTATTACACTTATTTCTTACCATATGTATATTTAATGCACTAAACAATCATGTCATGATTTAATATTTTAGCTTTTCATTCTTTTGTGATAAAAAAAAACATGTACCATGTAATTGCAGGGAAGCCAACAAATGAAGATTTTATACAGACAGACTTCCTTGAAATACATCATTCATGAAAAGAATTCTCCTTCTTTCTTAGTCACTCCCCTTTAATAGAGTGTGCTACAAGTTTGTCACAGCATCCATGTAAATGTGGATTGTAAAGCACTGGCATGACATTAATTCACTTTTCATATGAATCTGTAAAAATTTTTGTTAAATATTTATTCAAATGGATATACAGATTTACAATTGAAATTCATATTTTGGAATGTGCAATAGCAAAATAAACTTGAGGACGTACATGTACATGTAAATATTGAAAAATTGTCCCCCCCCCCCCCCAAAAAAAAGGCTATGATGGAAGGAAATAAAAAATAAATCTCTCATTTCATTTGCATAGCTTTTTAAATAGAAATGTTACGTATCTGTCCCCCCCCCCTTCCCCCAATTAGTTTTTAATTTTGTTGTTATTTATTTATTTTTAACAGTCTATTTATTATTGTATGGAATAATTTTATATCTTTACATATATGGTTAAAAAGTCAGATCAGGGGGGTGTTTCACAAAGATCCTAAGTTGAATTAATCTCTAAGTTGAACTTAACAATTATGGAAAGCCGTTAGCGTCTATGAAAGAGTTAAGTTTGACTTTGGATCTTTGAGAAACAACCCCCTGGAATCCTAGAGAGATCACAAGATCAAACAGTGAACAAGACAAGACGAGATGGTAAACAAATGAAAGCAAGAAATTCTATCCGGGGAAATGGGTGTTATTTAATTGAAGAGAGACCCTGTAGGCAAGAGAACGGGACTCCTGTGTATGGTAACCATAGCAACCTAGCAGCCACGACAATGGCCGGTGGCATTCTAAGCTAAGAATGATTGCAGTGATGCGTACATCTATTCATCCATCCATCCATATAAGCTAGAAATCCTTTCCTTTGTGTGGATGTATGTAGCCATCTCCACAGTTGGATTTGCTGTCTTGCTGAGTAATTCTAGTTTTTTTTTCATTTTCTTTTGTTGTTAAACCAAATATGTGAGAGGGCAACAAAATTGCAAGCCCTCATGCACATCTGTGGTAATTTAGTGATTACCAAGCCAGAGTGAGCATTAAATCTATGCATCAATAGCTATCTACAAAGCTCACAATGACGTGTATATTTTTCATTTTGATCCTGTTTCATGCTATTTTTGTCTTCATTCTTCATGTTTTGGAGAAAATGCTTACTTTTTATTTTGATGATGAAGTAAGAATTTGTTTTCAGATTTTCTCACATTATTTATTTGTATACATTCTGAAAATGCTTTTAAAAAATCATTTATTATCCTCATGGTATCATGTCATAAGGAAAGGATCTTGTAGAAATAGTAGGTAATTCCCTTTTTAATGGTTCTTTTTGATAAATTTGGTATGAATTTGCATAAGATTTGATACATCTCTTTTTGTTTGATATACATTCATTCACATTCGACGTGATATGGAAAAAGCTTTCACAATTCTATTTTTTTTAAACTTTTTATTATTGTTCTAATAACTTTTAAATATATGTACATCTTTTTTCTTAAATTCCATCCTCAAACTAGTTTGTAAAATTCGAAGAATGTTTTGGTAATTAACGAGAATAGGAATAGATGAAGAGAGGAATTCAATACCACCCAAATGTATAATGTTTTCGAAGTGCCGTCAGCAGACCCACTTACTTTCAAAGAATATATATAATACTTTCATCCTGTAAAAACACAGGATTTCCTCTACATCTTTTGTTTCATAGTGTTCACGATTAGACCAGGAAGGGCTCGTAATTATTGCAGCTTTTAGTGATGAATCGGCTTGAATGATTTGGATGATTTTAATCAGAGAGAAATTGAGCATCACTGCTTCCCAACAAAGCCTCTACCAAGAGTCATGCTGTGTGTAACTACGCTTGCTGGATTGGCTTCGGTTTATAATCATGTTACAGCTCGCTTGAGAAAATATAATATGTATTATTACATGAGGAGAGATGTGGTACAGAGAGAGAGCATGGAAGAGAAAGGGAGAGATATAAACGAGAGAGGGGGGTGAGACAGATAGAGAGATGGGGAGTGAAAGACAAAAAGAGGAGGGCTGGAAAAAGTATGATTTCAGATGCAAATCATCTATATTCATGAAGAAAATGTAAGTGAAAAGGAGATTTTTTTTTTAATTGTTGTTTCTGTTTTATGCATATTTTCACCTTCTAAATATACAAACTGTAATGATACCAGAATTAATTTCAAAACATGCATTAGAAGATTCGAACAATTGTTGACTTCATCCCAATAAATCCCTTGCCATAAAATATATGAAGCAATACTAGAGTTTTCATTTACTCTAGCTCAGATATAATGCTTGTTGAAATATCCATGATAAGTCTAGAGTTCTTTTGCAGCCCTCTGTTGTTTCATTTTAAGACTACCCTAAGTTGAGTCAGGAGTAGCCAATCTGCACGGAGACACCAGTAGTTACGTGCCAGAACCCCACGCCATCCTCTGATTTCTAACGCTGACTTTCTCATCTCTAAATTGATTGATCACACCTCCGACGTCTAGTGATGCCAATTTGATGCTTTCCCAGACTCACCCTAACTAGATATATAGTATTAATTCATTAGAAAGTAGCCTGACTCTACCCATATGAGTCATCA